TTGCATTGTGGATTGTGTTATGAATGAAGGAATTCTTTGCAGTGTCTAGGGAATTTGAGATTTGATTACGAAGTAACCGGTATTGGGAAAGTACTTCAATAGAACCTGTCTTTTTGTAGCGAAGGAAAAGATGATCACGTATGCGCATCTTGGATCGTAGCTCCCCAGAGACCCAGGGCTTTTTCATGGATGGGATAGTGATCTTGCGAGGTGGGGCAAGCTGATCAAAAGCAGCAAGTACATTGAGAGTAAAGATAGATTCAAGCTGATCAAGTGAGTGTGAGAGGCCCGGTAAAGGTCCGGAGGAGAAAACTGAGAGATTAGTGTCGATTATCAAATTAAGGGCTGAGGGATTAATGTGTTGGAGAGGACGGGAGGAAAAAGTTTTCATGGTATTTTTGATGTATGTAGCTGAGATTGAGACTGCGATTAAGTCATGATAAGGAACAAAGGGTGAATTAGATTGAGCAAACTGTAAGATGTTAGTTGAGTAGTTGGTGATAAATAAATCAAGGGTTGTGTGTGTGATTTCCCCAGTGGTTGACATAGGATGATGTGTAGGTACAGTAGAAACAACCCTTAAGGCAAGAGAGTCCAGGTGATCACGAAAAGCACGAACATGTGGAAGATCAGAGGTGAGATCACAGTTGAAATCACCTGTGATTAGGATATCGTTGTAATAAGGAAGAAAAGTAGAGATGGAGTCAAAGAAGAAAGTGGGGATGGAGGCTGAGGGACGACGATAAACTACGGCAAAAAGTAGCCTGATACGTCGATTCTGTTGAATGTCGGCAATTATAAATTCAGGAGTATTATCATAGACGGGATCAGACTCGGCTAGTATTTTGATCATCAATGGGTTCCGCGTATAAAAACCAACACCTCCACCCTCCTTGCCCACACGATCATGTCGTACAAAATTGTAATCCGGAAGAGCAAGGTGAGCATCTGATACAAATTCTCTGAGTTTGGTTTCGGAAATAGCTATTAGGTCGTAAGGGACAGTCTGGACTTCAGCCTCAAGGAGAGAGAAATGAGAGGGTACATTTAATCCGTTAATATTGACGCGTGCAGCAGTGAAAGATAAGTTTGTCTCAGCTAAGTTGTTGGATTTCAGTTTATGTCAGATTTGGTTGGTATTAATTTGATGCGGCGAAGAGGGTAAGGGGGACAATCGTCTGTGAGTATGAGTATGCTGAGTGGGTGGCCTCACGGCAGACGGTGTCACGCGTTGGAGAGGCACGAGCCCGCATAAGTCAGCCTCAGTTAAAATGGGGATCAGCTCGGAGCGCTGAGTCTGCCTGCAGAACACTCTCAGATTACGGACCACTGGCCAGGCATAACCAAGCTCAGCACTAACCTTTCTCGCCTTTGTGAGAAGTTCGAAGATCGGCTTCGGCCATATGGGGCGAACGTAGACTCTCGTCGGTCCACCGGTACCAAAGATGGACTGGGCGGTGTGCTCCTTTAACTTCGGCGAGAAACGCAGAATCCTATCCCTGATTGATGGAGAGTCCACAAGAAAAGCGAATGAGCGAGTAGACCGACGAGCAGCGCCGGGAAGTGATAAAGAGCTTTGGGAAGTGACAGAAGAATGGCTCCAATCACGCGTATGTATGATTTGCGGCAGATTGTGCATCCCGCCAAAACCGAGCGCAACAAGCAGTGAAGTTGCTGCTTGGAAGAGTGTGCCTTGATAGTCAGAGGGAAGACCGTGGACGAGAAGTTCCTGCTCATCTGTGACTGCAAAGAGAGCATCCCTGACCTGGTGCTCCATGCGCAATTGGGACCACAAATCGCGCATCTCTTGATGTCTGCCGGCATTTAGTTGGGCCTCTTGTTTGAACCACTCAGGTGCATCCGCCATGGTAGTAGAGCGATCTACGCCTTGATGTGAGATTGAGTGCGACGACGATTGAAGGTGGTACTGATTCACAGCGAAAACGTTGGTTGCAGGAACAGAGGACTCAGGTGACGAATGAAGAGGCGCAGTACAGTGGTGTTTGGTTACCGACGACAATAACGGCTGAGTAGGCGAGGCTAGGCGTTTCTTGGCCCGGACGAGTATAGATGGAGAGTGTCCGGTAGGCGTGGCGAATAGCGCGGCTGTATTGGCGATCGGTAATTGGTTGGAAGGTGACGAGTCAGCACAACATATAAATTCAGTAGTTTTAGATATCGGCCTAGAATTTGGGGATATACAGTTAAGGTGGTAAAGCGAATTGCAGGAGCCGCACAAAAGAGATCTGTCGAGTCGTCGTAATGGAAGGTAACACTTAGCACAGTCTCTAATTGACATTAAGAAATCGTAAGGGATTACAGGCTTAAGGTTTAGAGGATTAAGAGGGAGTCGAACTACGTTAAACTCAACAAGTAAATAAACTGGAGAGGAAAGAGCGAATTAACGTAGTCGAAATGGTCAAGATAGTATTAATGTGATACATAGAAAATTTGGCGCGAACAAGAATAAACGAGTTTCGTGACTCCTACCCGCAGTTACATGAAATGCAAGATATTTCGAATTTCGCGGGAAAATTGGAAAAATTAGCGGGAATATTAATTAGCGGAGGAACTGAACATAAATGGCGCTCGGAATTATGAGTACTTAAAATAGGTCGCTTAATAATAAATTGGCAGATGGCTAACAGAAACAACAAAACAAATCACTCAATCGAAGAGGCAACGATGACGGATACAGGAGAAATTGATTAAGGGCACAGCCGGATAACGGGGCGATAATTATTAAATTAAATTTTTGATGTTTCTCTCTTACTAAAGCGGTGCGTAGGCGATGACAATGTGTTCTTTAGTAGCCGATGTTGCAGGAATCCGATGTGCAGGAGAAATCTATGTAGTGCGAAATGATGCCAGATGATACCAGTGGCTGGTGAAGTCTCACGTACATTCAGATTGAGATGGAACAGGTTATGTGACAACTGTAGATTGAGGTAATGTGTAATTCCAGGGCAAATTATGCACTAACTATCTCAAGCCTAGCTGCCTCTTGGACTACATATCACCTGGAACAAGTTGCTCGCGGAGGTGCAACAAAATTATATTAGTAAAACTATAAAAACCTGGAGCCGATGTAAAGTGCGTGCGGCGCTCACCAGAGAGAGAGAGAGAGAGAGAGAGAGAGAGAGAGGAAGAGAAGATTAATCAACATAAAAATGGGATGAAAAGAGGAACAGACAGGCGCAGAAGACAGAGACACAAGAGTTGCAGACACACGTACATACATACACACATACGCAAAACATACACACACATACATACATACACACACAAAACACATACATCATCAACTACACAAACACAAACTGGACACGAGACACAAATAGTGAACAAATTGGACAATTCTTAGTAGAAATTCCAAGTTAAATATAATTAACACAGAAATTCGGATCCCCTATAAGAAAGAATTTATAAGTCTCATGTATATTAAGTTATTTGAAAATTAATACGAATATGGTGCGTGAATAGTGAATAAATAAAAGATATGGATTTATTTTTATTATAATTTTATCAAGTATAATTAGGCTCGTATTTATCCGGCATAAAATCTCCAGTCATAAGTAGGGAAAAGCCATCTAAATATGAGCAAATACAGTCGACGAATGTACAAAGAGTTATGCTACTTATTATAATTAATACATTTCGGCAGGCTCGCTTTGCCTGTGAATGGCTATTCAAGTTATAGACTACTCGCTTACCACACGACGCTAATTGCACCTTGTCCGAGAAGGAAGGTCGTCTCCTAGAGCAGCACAGTGCCAACATCTTGGTCACGGGCACGGCCCGCACTATGCTGCCCCTAAAGTAGGGCCGAGTTGCTGCTGTCTGAGCTGCCCAGGGTCGGAGACGCCTCAGAGGATATCACGCATATCCTCAGCTAGGCCTACGGGTGCCGGTAGCCCTTGTTGCGATCGTGGTTTCGACAAGTCACAAGATAAAAGACACGGTACTGCAGGAACTCGCACTCACATTCAACACACACGTTACCCGTGAAGGCTAGCACGATAAACTAACACAACGACGTAACAATTGAAAGCAGCAGTTAACTGAGCGCAACTAGGTGACTGAAAAATAATGCGACGAGGTGCTGAGATAGAGCTACGAGGTGTAAGGATCGAGTTCTCGAGAGCTACTACTGCTTCCTCCTTCCTGAAGAAGGATCAGAGTTTTCTCCAGCATTGGGCCTGTTCGTGGAGACAATTAAAAAAAGCAAGGTTTATAGTGCCGAATTTCCCTCCGAACGTTTACCTGCGCGACAATTGCTGGACGACCATACCGCCTGTTTTCTTTTGTATCGCGCGCGCACCGCTGGAACTGCCGCACGTGTTAATATTCTGGGTTTTCCCCATCCGCAAAAAAAGAGAGAAAACATTAAGCGACAAAGGACCGAATCTCTAAATAAACTTTCACATTTACAACCGCCAAAAAAAATTGTTATAAATTATTACTCTCTACTTTCGTGCTATGCACATGGAGCGCAGATGCCGCGAACATTCCGCCCGCCTTCGTCCGTCGGACGAATGTACACTTCGCAACTTATATACCATTTTCCGGCTTGGACTTATCCTCATGGTCTTCAGATCGATGCAGGTTCAAGGGTGCGAGACAGGCAATGTGTCGACGGAGTGTGTTGTTTGCAGTCTTGACAGTCACCACTCGAACAAGACCATCTGAGCCAGCGTGTAATTCAAGCACACGCCCAAGAGGCCATTTAGATGGTGGATAGCGATCATCCTTCATAAGGACCAGTTGACCGATTGTGAAATTTGCAGTCGGATGTTGCCACTTGTTTCGCGCTTGCAGTAGAAGTACATACTCGCTGGACCAACGCTTCCAGAATTGGTCTCGGATTCGCTGCAAGAATTGGAATCGGTCGAGACGATTTTCTGGGACCGATGGTGTGGCTTCGTCAGGGATAACTCCAGAGGCAGCTCCGATGAGAAAATGTGCTGGAGTGAGTGCTTGCAAGTCCTCGGGATCTGCTGTCAGTTGGCACAAGGGGCGCGAATTGAGGCAAGCTTCAATCTCAGCCAGGACTGTTGATAGCTCAACTTTTTCAGCAGATTCTTAGTAGACTTAACTCCAGCCTCCCATAGTCCTCCATAGTATGGAGTTGTAGGCGGGATGAATGTCCACTCTGTTCCATCGTTGAGTAGTAAGTTTGCGGCTTCCTTGTAAAAGCTTGAGGCGGCTGTGAACATGCTTCGAAGCTCGGTGTCAGCTCCACGGAAGGTTGTAGCATTATCGCTGAAAAGTTTCTTGCAGAGTCCTCTTCTGCTTACGAAGCGTCGATAGGCAGCGAGAAATGAAGTAGTCGTGAGATCACTCACAACTTCAAGATGCAATGCCTTTGTAGCAAAACATACAAAGAGCGCAATGTAGCCCTTGTAGATCATTCGGCCACGGCCCTTTGATGCGCGTAGTTGGAAGGGACCAGCATAATCCAGACCAGTGTTGGTAAATGGTCGAGCAGGGGTCACACGTTCCGTTGGTAGGTCGCCCATGAGTTGATGGGCCAAGCGAGGCGAATGACGCTGGCATCTTACACATTTGTGTATCGCTGATTTTACCAACGCTCGCATATTCACAATCCACGCAAATCGCAACAGAATACTTATCGTTAGAGTAGGTCCACCATGATACGCTCGCTCGTGCGCGTATGACACAAAGAGTCGGCTAAGGGATGAGGAACGAGGTAAAATTGGCGGATATTGTAAATGGCGAGGTAGATTGGTATTACTCAAGCGACCTCCGACGCGAAGAATACCATCCTTATCTAAAAAGGGCTGTAATTTGCATAAATAATGGCGCTTAGGTAGAGTCTTATGAGATCGTAGTAACTCGATTTCCGTCGAAAACGCGTGCGCTTGAGCTACTCTCACGATCACGGTTCTCGCATTATCAATATCTGCAAGCGTGAGATATTTAGGATAAGAGACTTGGGATGCTCGCTGTCGAACCTTTTGCAATATTGGTCGCAAACACCATGCAGTTATACGTACGAGTCGCGTAAGACTCGAGTATCTCGCCAACAACACTGGTTCGTCAGAGCTTGGCCGAGTATGTAGTGAACGCAACGATTGTTGAGGCTGGGGCCATTTATCAGAAGGAGATAATAGCCACATAGGACCAGTCCACCACAAGTCATTCGCTCGCAATTCGTCAGGCGTCGCACCTCGCGTGGCAAGATCAGCCGGATTTTGTTTTGTGGGTACGTGCGACCACAACGCTGAAGGTAACTCGGTTTGAATTAAAGAAACACGGTTGGCAACAAATGTCTTCCAATGACACGGGTGCTTCTTGAGCCAAGTAAGTACTACTTGACTGTCGGACCATAGGCGTATTGGCACGTTTTGCAGAAACTTCAGTTTTTGCAAGTGTACCACTAATTTAACGAGAAGAGTTGCACCGCACAACTCAAGGTTCGGAATGCTGACGGTCTTAACTAGTGCAACCTTCGTTTTTGCTGTTAGCAACGATACATGATAATTGCCGTTACCGTTATCGATGCGTAAATAGACGACAGCGGCGTATGCACGTGAAGATGCGTCAGAAAACCCATGAATCTCAAATGGTTTCTGATCAAACAACCCAAGCCAACCATTAATCGAGAGAGTGTGCAGTGTTGAGAGTGACTGGCAGTAGCTCTGCCAGCGGTCGCAGATCTCGGCAGACAAGGGCTCATCCCAGTCGCACTTCTCAATCCATAAGTCCTGCATAATAATTTTTGCAAGTACCGTCACGGGAGCAAGCCAGCCAAGAGGGTCATATAACCGCGCGATGTCCGAATAGATCGATCTTTTTGTGAGTTTTTTCTCTGAACGGCTCACGATCGACGCGCTAAAGTTAAAGGCATCGCTCGACGGGTTCCAATGCACACCGAGCGTTTTTACTGCGCTGTTAGTGTCGATTTGTTTAATCGCGCCGACTTCACCCGACAGGATAAATGAAGGTAATAGATTCGGGTGATTTGCAGCCCACTTATCTAACTCGATGCCAGCGGACTTCAAGATGCCGATAAACTCGTCACGTATACGCACAGCCGTCGGCAAATCATCTGCACCCGCGAACGTATCGTCGACGTACGTATTTGACTCAAGACAAGCCGCTCCGAGGGGAAAACGTGTCTTTTCGTCGGATGCTAATTGCAGCAGTGTACGAATCGCGAGAAAAGGCGCGCAGGCCGTGCCGTACGTGACCGTTGTTAAGCGGTAATCCATAGCAGGCCTTCCCGGTGCACGCGACCACAGGATACGTTGCAAATCCTGATCTTCGCGAGCAACAAGAATTTGCCGGAACATTTTCACAATATCAGCTGTAAAAACATATTTATACCGACGCCAATTCAACAAGATCAACGAGAGATCACTCTGAAGAGCTGGCCCTGACATGAGAAGCTCGTTCAAGCAGTGCTTATCATGAGTACGACGAGAGGCATCGAAAACAACACGTATCTTGGGTTTTTCTGCAGTACCGGTGATAACAGGATAATGTGGATGGTACCACGCTCGCGAGTTCTTAATTTCCGATCTTGGTACAGGTATCATATGACCGAGCTTTATGTACGTTTCCATAAAGTCGGTGTATGCCTGCTGTAATGTAGGATCGCGCGAAAAGCGACGCAATAGATGTTGCAAAGAACCGAGGGCCACTCTTCGCGTCTCATCGGCTACTCGTGGAGGCTCTGAATTAAGGGGTAGGCGAACCTGAAATCGTCCGTCAGTAGTACGCTTATGAGTTTCGGCAAAAAGTTTCTCGCATACTTCATCCTGAGGCTTCAGACTCTTAGGCGCGACAGGAACCTCTTCGACTGTCCAAAAACGTTCGATCACATCACGTAAGCCATTGCTAACTACACAACGCAAAGATTCAACGGTCTCACGTTTGCTTGCTGCCGCCCGCCGTGACGGCACTCTTTGCATTGGACCCGATATCACCCAGCCGAGAGCAGTATTTTGCGCAACTAGCGAGCTTGAAGGAAATTTGGTCAAACCTGCTCGTAACAATTGTCCGTAAAGATCCGCTCCTATCAAAATGTCGACTCTATCCGAGAGATAAAATTCCGGATCAGCGAGAGGTAGCATCTTAAATGGTTCTAATTCAAGCTCCACAAGATTTCGCGACGGTAATTCGGACGTCAATCGAGGCAGAACAAACGCATTCACATCAATTTTAAATGGAGGATCCTGGTTCGATTTCATGGTGAAGCTAGTCGCGTGTTTGACGGCGCCAGCAGTACAGCCTCCTATTTCCATTAGGCTAGTTGTCACACGATCTCGTTTGAGCTGGAGGAGTTGGACGAGTGACTCAGAGACAAACGTGGCTTCTGACCCTTGATCAAGCAAGACCCGAGCACAAGTCTGTCTTCCAAACGGGCCTATAACCGTAACTTGGGCCGTGGCGAGTAAGATGGATTGCTGACTTGCAGCCGAGTTGCAAGCGTTAATACTGAGTCCGGGGCCGCCCGCCGTGCGCCCAACATTCGCTCTAAATTTTTGTGTAGCTGCTAAAGCGCTTGACCTTTCAGTGGAAAAAGCGGAGTGAAGTAAAGTATGATGACGTTCTTCGGTTGTGCAGTCTCTACACCTATACTTTGATGGGCACGCGGAACGCTTATGACGGCCGAGGCAGTTGAAGCACAGCTTAGCTTCGCGCACTGCCTTTTTGCGTTCTTCTGGAGTTTTTGCAAGGAAGGCGGAACATTTTGAAGTAAAATGATTTCCTTCGCAAAATCCACATTTCAAAGTCCTGGCTGGCTGCGACGATTGTGCGTGATGAACTTTACGCGAGCTTGAGAGAGTACTGATAGGAGGGTTCGGACGTTTGTCCTCCTTATCAGCTTGGATGACTATCAAAGACTGTGCGCGTCTCTCTAGAAACGCAGCCAAGTCGACGAACTTTGGCATGCGAACGAGATAATCATCGTCATCGTCTTCTATGTTGGCTAAGGATGATTGATCTTTCGCACTCCACTCAGCTTCCCAGTGTTTTCGGAACTCGGTATCAAGACGGACTTCCAACAAATGGACCAGCCATAAATCCCAATGGACTACCGGAGCTCTTAGATTTTTAAGCGCACGCACAATCCGTTGTGCGTTGTCGATAAAACTACGCAAATCAGAGGCTGACTCTTTCTTAAGATGCGGCAAGTTAATAAAGGCGTCAAGCAAGTTATTAATTGTCAAGCGCGGATTATGAAATCGATTTTTCAAAGCTTTCCATGTCGTATCATAATTTATACCTAAGATAGTGACGTCCTTCACTAACTCGGCTGCAGAGCCTTTCAAGCAAGACTTCAGGTATTGCAGCTTAGTAGTATCAGCAATGCGCGGCGCGTTGTGTACGAGGGTGGTAAAAATGTCCGCGAAGCTATCCCAATCTTCATGCTTGCCCGAGAAGGTAGGTAGATCTAACCTAGGAAGTTTTGCTGAACAATCGTCATGATCGTCGCCTTCACGTTCGCGTCGTCGAGGATTGCGTTCCTCATAACTCGGAGACTGCGGTAGTGCGGTTAACAATACGTCAAGGGTATTCTCATAGATATCTTGCAAGGCAGCGTACTTATTTTCAGTAATATAAGCGTTTTCAAACGCCTCTGCTCGCAGTGCAATATCGGTGTGTGTCTTACGCACATCAGCCCACAGGTCGTTGATCATATTAATGCGCGTTTGTACGATCGTTTTGCTAAGCGTGTTAGCCGCACGATGACGTATGTGATCGCCGATGCGTTTAATTTCATCATGGCGTTGTTGTTGGAGTACTATCAGTCGGGTTAACGGGCTAGGCGCCATCTTACACACAAAGACAAAAAGACAAATGGAAAGAGCGTACTATATCGCGGTGGACCTCTAACACAAGACAATTCTAAATATGACCATAAAGCAACGCAACAATCAATGTATTTATTCACTAATCACGCACTCCTCACCCGGGGCACCATGAACAAATTGGACAATTCTTAGTAGAAATTCTAAGTTAAATATAATTAACACAGAAGTTCGGATCCCCTATAAGAAAGAATTTATAAGTCTCATGTATATTAAGTTATTTGAAAATTAATACGAATATGGTGCGTGAATAGTGAATAAATAAAAGATATGGATTTATTTTTATTATAATTTTATCAAGTATAATTAGGCTCGTATTTATCCGGCATAAAAACCCCAGTCATAAGTAGGGAAAAGCCATCTAAATATGAGCAAATACAGTCGACGAATGTACAAAGAGTTATGCTACTTATTATAATTAATACATTTCGGCAGGCTCGCTTTGCCTGTGAATGGCCATTCAAGTTATAGACTACTCGCTTACCACACGACGCTAATTGCACCTTGTGCGAGAAGGACGGTCGTCTCCTAGAGCAGCACAGTGCCAACGTCTTGGTCACGGGCACGGCCCGCACTATGCTGCCCCTAAAGTAGGGCCGAGTTGCTGCTGTCTGAGCTGCCCAGGGTCGGAGACGCCTCAGAGGATATCACGCATATCCTCAGCTAGGCCTACGGGTGCCGGTAGCCCTTGTTGCGATCGTGGGTTCGACAAGTCACAAGATAAAAGACACGATACTGCAGGAACTCGCACTCACATTCAACACACTCGTTACCCGTGAAGGCTAGCACGATAAACTAACACAACGACGTAACAATTGAAAGCAGCAGTTAACTGAGCGCAACTAGGTGACTGAAAAATAATGCGACGAGGTGCTGAGATAGAGCTACGAGGTGTAAGGATTCGAGTTCTCGAGAGCTACTACTGCTTCCTCCTTCCTGAAGAAGGATCAGAGTTTTCTCCAGCATTGGGCCTGTTCGTGGAGACAATTACAAAAAGCAAGGTTTATAGTGCCGAATTTCCCTCCGAACCTTTACCTGCGCGACAATTGCTGGACGACCATACCGCCTGTTTTCTTTTGTATCGCGCGCGCACCGCTGGAACTGCCGCACGTGTTAATATTCTGGGTTTTCCCCATCCGCAAAAAAAGAGAGAAAACATTAAGCGACAAAGGACCGAATCTCTAAATAAACTTTCACATTTACAACCGCCAAAAAAATTGTTATAAATTATTACTCTCTACTTTCGTGCTATGCACATGGAGCGCAGATGCCGCGAACAAATAGTAATGTAAGAAATAAAAAAAAACCAAATGTAACATAAGTTGTAAATAAAAAAATATATATATAAAAATATAATATACTTTTTTAACATTAAACAATGAGTATGCTGTCTTAATATAAAGGCGTTAAACGAGCAAATCAGACTGGACCGTTACAGAATTTAAATTGTCATTTGTAGGATTCAGAAATAGACTTGAAGTAGATTGGATTATTAATCCGAATGAATGTCCTTGTTTTAGCAAGACGGGTTGACGAGTGAGAGATTGTTGCGCGTAAAATAGAAGAATGGAAAGATCTATACGTATGTTTGATATATGTATATGTATCAATTGTCGGACACGAAAAATAATTAGGAGAATGACAATCGACTAGTGTATAAATTAGAACACCAGAATGAAATTACGAATAATGAAATTGGCAGTAACAGAGTGTATCTTGATATATTTAGGTGTGCAAGAATGAAATAGTAAACCAAGTTTTGATATATCGTGTCTTTTTCTTAAAAACACAATATTTTATAGAAAGGCTCTTTTTTATTGATATTCTCTCTCTCTCTCATTCTTTTTCTTTCTCTCTCTCCTTCCTCTTACTCTCTCTCTCTCTCCCTGTTCGTGTACAAAAATTTAAATATACAGTGGTGGTCAATAAAACAAGGTTACCAGTAACTACAATCAGGTAAGATTCAAAGTTTTGTATCTCGGCTAAAACTGGTTGCATAGACATCAGTAGATGCTCATTTTAAAGGCATTTGTAAATACTTTTTAATAATTTAGTGTAAAGTTTTGTTAAGTTTAATTTTAAACTTTTTATTACCTTGAAATGGATATTGAGAAAATGAAATATTTCAAGTTCTGTTTAAATCCGCACAGTTGAATAAATAATTCATCTACAAAAATTCTGTCCGAATAGTTTTCAAGCTCTATCTAAGAACTTTAAAATCTTTTTCTTATTTTTTGTAGCTTAAAAACTAACCATATTGCGGTGACTTTTGTCAAAAATTAGCATATTTTTAGATCGTTTGTATTTCCTACAGTAACTAACACAACAACAAAAATCTAAAAAGAAAAACTTTTTTTATGGTAATGAATCAATAAACATTTTTTCAGAATTAAAAAAAAATATTTTTTTTATTATTTTAAGAATTTAACTGATCATTGTGAAGCTAGTAAAATGCAGTTGTATTATTCTGACTAGGAAGGTACACCAACCTGAACACACCAATTTTTATAATTCTTGTACATGTTGTAGCATATTAAAAAAACAAGAGATTCATATTTTTTTATCGACAGAAAAACATATTTAAGAGGTGGTATCCCCCCTCAAAGTTCACTCCTAAAAACAGTTTTTTTCAGATAACTTTTCTTCTAACCAAGTGGATAATAATCCTTATAAAAAGTCTACCGAATTATGGTTTGTTTGACTTTTGGAGGTATAACGAGTCTGACGTCAGCTCGTTATGTCTCTCTGTCTATACGGCGATAAAATTAAGAATATCATATATTTATAATGTTACATTATTTGAATTATATTTCTCCTTAGCAGCAGCAGACGACGACTGTGGAGAAGGTAAGAGCGAGCGTCGGCAGAGAGAGACCGCGTAGCGATATGTATGACGAGTCGTGCGCCGCGTGCCGCGTGACGAAGTGCCGGCAATTAGCCGATAGCTCGCGAGCCGTGCAGAGGCATTCGGTCGTGCGTGCGCTTGTATTGGTTTCCTTTGTGAATCGCCTCATGGCAAGAGAGTGACTTTTAACTGCGACAAGTGAGAGAGGTGCAACTGTGCGTGCAATACCTCCTCCTCCTTCGCGACTAGCGACTGTACTGTTGGGCGAATTCCACAATCGTGGTGTAATTGAAGTGCTTCGATTAATGTAAGTACCGACCGTTCCTTGGATCTCTCTCTCTCTCTCTCACTTTGCATATCTCGCCGCTCTCTCTGAACCGCCCTATACACTGACTCGTACATGGACTATATATATTTGTATACTACTAAAACTGCATGGCTTTTCTTTTGAACTACCCTTTTTTTTTCTATCGCTTTCCAGAACAGATGATCTGGATGAAGAAACTGCAAGAGGAAGACTTGACAACCTTAGTCGTTTATTTTTTATGTCAGAAGCTTTACCAGCGGAAATCCGGAAAGATTTGCTAAATGCCATAGAGGTGAAAGAAAGCCTCGATACCATGGGGTAGTCGAATTTAGAGGATAATGAACATATAACTACGAGCTCACCACATAGCAGAGCCGTAGAGGAACCAGAGACCCTGTCAGATAACGATAGATGGCTGCTAAGACCTCGACAGTTAACCTCACAAAATACCGGATTAAATCAAAACGCTGCTACCACCAAGCACATAGCTTCAACAGCAACAACGACTAGCATCGCGTCAACAGAAGTCGCAACTTCGAATTACGGTTCTACAGCAAATTATACAGCCACAGCTCAAATAAATAACGTGCAAATAGTGATGCCAGACGGTAAGTCGCACTTCGTGCCTTACGCCGTGGCACACGAACTTTGAAGGCTCTGACAAGTAGAAATTGATGCGCTATTGGCACATAAACACTTTCTGATTCATACGTCGTCCTTAGAAAAGGAAATTGAAAACATACCAGCGAAAATAGCACAGTATGAACAAATAATAACTCTAGAACAAGCTAACTCCACCAAAATACAGCAAGATTTGCACGAGCAATTAAAATCAGTTGTATCTAATGCTCAACATCAAGCTACGGAGGTACGCCTAGAGGCCACGAGAAACAGAAATGTTCAATTTGCAGACACTTTCGAACTGAACTATTATAACCATCCAAACCAATTCGGTAATACAACGCGTTCTCATACGCCATCCTCAATCCGCAAGCGCCGTTGTTCCATTCGACAACATAGCCCTCCGCAATGCTCTCACAAGTACCCTTGCCATTATCGCTAGCGATGACTACGTCATCCTTGTCTACATTGCATCCTCCTGCATCCTTGCACTGAGAGAAGCATACGCCTTCCAGTACTTCATTATCTCTCGACCCCGTGACATCCCACGCATGCTCGTTCACCCCTGTGTACTCGAGCTGGGGGAGGGGGGTTCTGCGTAGTACTTCGGTAGGAGTCACACCGCAGCAGGCAACACTTAACGCACCAACAAGAAACCAAAGTACTAGCTCACAGCAAGCAACCACTTTGAATACGTCTTCCGGATTCTTTCCCAGAACTAAACCTCTAGGAAAAGCGGTAAGAGAGTGAAAAATAAAGTTTCCCGGAGATGAAAGGCTGAGCATAGAGGAATTTTTGGAGCGAGTTGAAGAAAACCGACTGTTAGACAAAGTGTCAGACGAAGAGCTGTTAAACTCTATGACTCCCTTATTCGAGAAGTCAGCACTCTTTTGGTATCTCACTGTAAGACCCTCGTGGACTACTTTCCGCGAATTCAAAGAGGCCGCTCTTGCGACCTACAGTAAATTAAGGAGGAATAAAAGAATTATGACGATAGAGGCACACATTTTCGTACGCAAGACGCTGACGATCCCGTAGTTGAATATGCTGTCTCATTATTCACTATTATGAAAAGGCTCGATCCGCCTCGGAGTATGCAGGACCAAATTAACCTAGTTATAGACAATATGTTGCCTAAGCTCCAAAAGAAACTTAAGCCATTTAAGGACAACCTCACGGACGTACAGGTGC